TATTGAGTAAATAAGACTTTTTTGCATGGTTATAGCAAAAAGAAAGAAAGAAAGAAAATGAAGGTGAGGCTTGGATGACTGAAGTTTGAGAAACATTCAGGTAAGAATGGAACAAAGTTACAGAGGAGAAGAGTAGGGATGGGACTAAAATGAAAACTCAAAAGGAAGTGCAAGTAGTGCCATCTTACCTAAGAGGAAGTAGCCAAGGATGAGTGGGGAAGGTAGCTAACTTTTAGAGCTGAAGGCTCTGAGCTTATGTTCAGAGTGCCCTGCATACTCTGAACCTCAGTCACCTCATCTGAAAAACTAGAGGGATCCAACATCACCACAAGGATGCAATAGAGATTCACGGAGATTGTGCCTGAGGATGCATCTCACAGGGTCCAGGTAAACTACCAGGCAGGGATTAATGATTGAGAGGTACACGTGTGAGGGGAAGAGGTGGAGTCCAGAGACTGAATGTTGCCTCAGCAAGCAAAGGTACAGTCAGGCTGGGCACAGCAACCCAGCTGCATGAACTCTGATCAGAAGTAACCTCTTATTTAACTTGTTACTTTTTAAATTTTTTGATGAGGAACATTTGCCCTGAGCTAACATCTCTGCCAGTCATCCTCTAGTTTGCATGTAGGCCACCACCATAGCATGGCTGCCAATGAGTGGTGTAGATCCCTGCCTGGGAACTGAACCCCAGCCACCAAAGTGGAGCACACTGAACTAAATCACTAGGTCATGGGGCCAGCCCCACAATTTTAGTTACCTTTAACTAAACCTTCAGTCCACCAAAAGAGCCAATCTGCCCACAGAAGGAGAGATAGGGTGAGGAGAGAGCAGAGAAAGGGCACTTGTTTGGAAGAGCAGGGTATTTATGGAAACGAAGATCCAGCTTTTTGACAGGGTCATGACTTTTTTCGGCCATTCTTCTTTAACCAGTGCTGGGCACCATTCTATCTCCCCCATCTCTTCAGGGTCTGGGTGCTCTAGAAAGAAGATAGTGCTGGGATAAGAGAAACAGAGGCCCCTGGAGCTGTGACCTGGATAGAGCCCATCCTGCAACTGGTTTGGCAGGTCCTGATATCTCAGCAAGCCGCACAGAAGATGAGAGAATGTGATATCTGAAACCTGTCATGCAGAAAGGGTGCTACAGAGGTAACAGCACCATCCTGAAAGAAGCTTTGATGTTTTCTTTGATCTTTTTAATGTTATTATTTAATGTTCAGGTAATACCTGAAAGATGTTCTGAAAGCTGTTAAAGGGTATCCAATGAACCCCCCCCCCCCCCCACTGCCATCACAGTTCTCCTCCTTAGAAGTAAATGATGCCAAGTTTTTTGGAATCCTTCCAACGATAACTGGGGGAAAATTTGGAGGGAGACAGACGGTAGAGAGCTTAGCTGGTTTTCTCCCTCTTTACTCAGATTATCCTGTGATTTGCACTCCATTGGAGTCCCCTCTGGCCTCCCCCTACAAGAGAGAACTCACTGTCTCTCAGATCCTTTCATCTCCCCAGCAGTGTGGGCGGAACAGGAAAAGCCTCAGGAACCTCCATCACTGTGGTCTTGACTTGTGCACGTGGGTCAGCATTTCAGCCAAAATTACCCTAGAAGCTGGATGCTGTGCTGGTGTTCAGGGTCTGGTCCTCCTGCCTAGGCATGGCCACTCAGGAGGGCAAAGGCCCAGGGATGTTCACTTCCCAAGGAGCCTAGGATGGGTTCAGAAGAGGTGGGACAGCAAGCTGGTTCTACGTGGCTCCAGGATCAATCTAGGAACAGTGAGGGTACAAGGCATGAAGGCAGATAGCCTTAGGAGGTAGTGAGTTCCCTGTCACTATAGGGCTTCTTGTTTGCAAGACTAGCTGATTTCCAAGTTCTCCATTTCCTTCTGGGGATGGCACCAGCAAGACTGAGCTTCGTGGGCAGAGCCAGGCCTGGTAAGTGTGGCACAGTTGTCAGGGCATGGATGTGGCCTGGTTCTTACCGCCACCATCCCCCAAGATTCCTGGGCACACCAAACCAAGAAGGATGCAAAGGGAAAACAAGCAGAGCTGCATTGCATGTGGATAACAGCTGGTCTCTCCACCAGGTGACTCCCAAAGCCTGGCACTCGTTTACTCAACTAACAGCCAGTAAGTGATTATTAGTGCTGGTGTTGTCCTCCCCAGGGAGGATGCAGCTTTAAAAGGAAAGTTCCCTCCCTCGTGGGATTCACATTCTAGTTGTTGCGGGAGGGGGAAGGGAGAAGCAGACAAAATTTAAGATAAATAAGCAAAATATAGACTAGGAAGTGTAGTGGTAATTGGTATGGAGAAAATTAAGCAGGTAAGAATCAAAGAGGGTGATTGCATTTTTTTTCTATTTTTATGGATGGAAACTATCTGGGATGAAATAGATAGAACTGTATACTTTTGGCAGATTGTTTGTTTCTGACAGACTTAGAACATAATTCCATCACCACTTGTACCTCTTTGAGGACCATTGAGTGGCCCACTGGGATGCCATGTCAGGTCATTGAGAGGCACAGAAAGGGGCTCGTTCCTTGTCTGCCCACACTGACTTATGGAAAGGGATGGTTCTCTTAGGCTTACTATCTGGTTTCCTTTATTTTTGCCCAAACCCACTGGTAATGATCCAGAAGGTACCTGACATTCACAATTAATATTCACATTGGTAGTTTTCTCCCTTTTTTGATCTACCCACAATTTTTCTCATTGAGGCTGTTGTGGAAGGTTGCACAGGCCACCCCCAGCAGAAGTGCATCCTCCCAGGGGGAAGCTTTTAAAAATTCTCACGAAGGCACCATAAGGGCTAGCAGGGACTTTGCTTGTAAAGTGGGAATTTGTTGCTCTGCTGAGGTTCAAATTTGACTTGGCCACCAGGCTGGTGCTGGAGTTTCAGCAGAAACATCTGGCCTCCCATCCCAGTCTAGGAAGGTGGGGGGTGGGGGGTTGAAGGAGATAATTCAGAGTGAAAGCCAAATGACTTTCATTGAGAACCTGCTGTATGCTGGATATTTTCACAAATATTATCTCATTTGACATTTCAGCACAAGCCTGCAAGAAGCAGGCATTATTATTAAGTCCATTTTGCTGCCAAGGAAGCTGAAGATTGGCAATATTAAACTCAAAAGCTACCCAGTCAATCATCTAGTAAGTGTTGGAACAAGGATTCCAATCCAGGTCTTTCTCACTTCAAAGCCCCTGATCTAAGAAGAACTGGAGCTGGAGACAGAAAAAGCCAAGTCAAAAGAGCTGAGGAAAGAAAGCCACCACTACTTTTGCTCCCAATGATGAGTAGAGTTCAAAGTTCAAGAAGCCAGGGAAAGCATTATGGAGTCATCAGATGAATGAAATGACCTTACCAGCGCGGGTAAGACTCCTGATGCTAGGGCCAAGCTTGTCTGCTGTCTGACCTACCATCTGCAACCCCCCTACCACCATCACTACCACCATTGCCTTAGTCCAGCCGGCAATTGCCTGTTGCTAGGACAACTGTCTGTTTCCCACCTGCTCTCCTTTCCCACTCTCTCACCTCCATAGAGTATTCCCCAAACAGCAGCCAGGCTGATATTCTCAAAACATACATCAACTGACACTATTCCCTTGCTTCAACCTGCCAATGGCTTCCCACTCTCAGAATAAATTCTGAACTCTTCATCATGGCCTTCAAGGTCCTACATGATTTGGCCTCTACCTGCCTTTCTGACTTCATGTGCTACCTCTTTCTCCCTTGTGCTTGACACTTAGACCACTAATCTTCCTCCTGATCCTCAGATGGACCTTGTTCTTTCCTGTCTCAGGGTGCCAGGTGCTCCACTGCTTGCTATGCTCCTCTCCCCACGTCTTTACCCAGCTGGTGCTTCTTGTCATTTAGCTCTGGGATCAAATGTCCCTTCCATGAACAGTTCTTCCCTGATGACCCGACGATTGTATCAACCGCTTCCCATCACTTCCCATTACATCACCTCTTTCATTTTCTTCATAGCACTTCTCGTCAACTAAAAGTAGCTTGTCTGTCTACTTATTTATTTTCTGTCTCTCTCTGGTCAGCAGGAAGTAAGGACCTAAGTTACAAGTTTTATGAATAAATGGATGTGAACAAGAGTTTCTAATAGTAGCTGAGACAATGATCTCAGTAATCTTCTGAGTTAGATAGGAGCTATGTCAGTGACACCAGTGAGGAAACAATTGACTTGCCATAGTCAAGGAACACAAACAGAGGTGTGTTTACTGCCACACAGGAGGGCCAGTAACTGGAGCCCCAGACTTGTCACAAGGAAAGAGATTTATTATAGAAAGGCAGCCAGACAAGGAGAAGGAAGTTAAAACTCAGATTACTCTGTTTTTAAAGGAACTTGGATTTCAGGTCAGAGTGTAGACAGGAAACTCCAATAGAAAAAGCATTCAGCCAAGGTGTAACTGTGTGTACTTGTGTATGTACAATACATGTACATTTGTATTATAGTATGTTAATGTGCATTTAATATAATATATAATATATGCTATATATATTATATTACATCTGTTAAAAGACATCAGGTGGATCTAGATTCAAATGCTATTTCTGCCGTTTCCTGGCTGTGTGACATTGGACAGGTACCTTAAATTCCCTGAGCATCAATATTCTCATTGGTGAAATGGTGGTAATGACAGTACCTTCCACATAATGTTTCATCCTCTTGTCTATTTAATTGACTTTTTGCTTGTTGTCTTTTGCCTCCCTATCACGGGAATGTAAACTCCTTGAGAGCAGCAACCTTGTCTGACATGATCAAAGCTGTATTCACACCTAGAGTGTTCTCATTAAGTATCTATTGAATGAATGAATGTACTATAGGTTTCTTATAAGATTAAGGAGGGTAATGGATGTAAAATACTGAAATTGACAGGATACTTGGCCACACAAAGTCACTCAGAGAACTAGGCTGAGAGAATCTCTGCCAGATTTGGGTGTTACTATCTCCACATGGTTTTCAGGTTTGAGTCAGGAGAAGAGAGAGAACTCATACCTGCTCTTAAGTGCCTGAGACCAGAAGTGACTTGTGTCACTTCCACCTGGAGTTCATTGTCCGGAACTGGAATTCAGTAGCCTCACCCTAACTACAAGAGAGGCTTGGAAATGAAAGAGAAGTGTGCATGGAATCTTCAGAGAGTTCTACTGGAGATGAGAAAACTGAGGTGCAATGGGATAAGAAACCTGCTCAATAACACAGAGCTGGTAACTGGTGAAAGCCAGACAAATCCAGGCTGTCTGGCCTCAGAGCCTGTCTTCTTGACCACAACAGTGGTGTTACAGTTCTACATGAGAGATCTACTGAGATCCAGAGAGTGTCTCGTGGACTCTTCCTCCTGTCCCTATTCTCTTCTCAAAGTGACTGCCTCTTCTGTTCGAGTAAAAGTGTTTTTTCGTACTGTGATTCTTTGGATGTTTAATCTTTAACTTACTAAGGTCGGTCAACTAGTCCTCACTCCACTCCATAAAATAAAAGCCTGTCCTGAGCTGAAAGTTCATCATGAGTGAATTGGCCAGGAAGAGCAAGACCCACTTCTCAGAAGCCAGGCATGCCCCTCAGTCCTGGCAGGGATGTTCTGGGTGTCTCCAGAAATCTCCGGTGGTGACTTGGAGCAAAGGCATTTTTCTCCCTGGTTCCGCGGAAGTTGGGAGGAAAAAGGTGCTGGGAAAGTTGGACCAGGATACTGGAGATTCCCCATCACCCAACAACACCCCCATAATGGCTCTAGTAGAAAACTATCAGTACAAGCCACCATCTATGAGAATCTGGGCTTTTCCAATGCAACATCATCAACCCAGCATACACATGCCTGGGCCAGGCACTTTATAGACTTTATATCATGCAATCCTTCCAAAGATTCCACAGGACAAATCTTATTAACAACTCCCCACTCCTCCATTTTTCATATGAGAAGACCAAGGTTAGAAGAGGTAAGTGACTTGCCCATGGGCCATCTTATAAGTGGCGGAGCCAGGATTTAAGCTCAAGACTTTAAGATTCAAAAAACTCTGCATTTTTCTAGTACACCAAACTGTTTTTCTTAGAATCCCAAATTAATAAAAACAGCCAACAATGATTATGCCAAGCACTGTGCTATATGCTTTCCATGAATTATTTCATCTAATCCTAACAACAATAACAACAAAATAACCAAGGAGATTGGTGTCACTATTATTGCCCCAATTTTGCAAATAAGGAAACTGAAGCATAGAGAAAGAAGGCCAACAAAGGTCAAAGAGATGGTAACTGGCAGACTTGAGGCTGAAACCCAAATCTTTCTCCCTCCAGAGCATAGGCTTTAACTACTAAGCCGCACTGCCACTTGGCTGTCATTTAAATGAAAACGGAGGTACAGGGCTAGGAAAGGGGAGCAAGTTAGCCACAGAGAACTAGTGAAAGTGCTCTATTTGATTTTATTTGTTCATTCACTCTGAAAGTCATCCCATAAGAATTGGTGGTGACTTCATATACGGTTTTTCTAACCGATTGTCTTTCCACGGGGGCCAGTGATTGCTCTCTGCCCTGTCCTCCCGGAGCAACTCCTCCCCCTTCTCTTTCACCCAATTCCTGCCAAGTTCCCCAGCCCAGCTGGGGCCAGGAGGCAAGTTCTGTTGTGCTCCCATTCCTGGGAACTTCTGATCAGAGAGAACTGAATATTCAAAATCCCCTTTTCTATACGAATCCAAGACCTACCCCAACTGTTTCCTGGCATTATCACGTAAGCCTGAGGTGAGTGACAGCTTCTTTAACGTGTGTGTGTATGTGTGTATATCTGACACAGGGCAGTAAACTATATATGGAGCCCTGAACTTTTAAAATCTGCAAACGCTGTTTCAAGTTCTGGCAACGCTGCTTACAGGTTGGCTGACCTTGGGCAAATCTCTTAACTTCTCTGACACTTAATTTCCTTCACTGAAAAATGGGGGTCATGATAGTGAGTAAGAGGGACAAATGGGAATATACATGTGATATGCCCAGAACAGTGGCTGGCACATAGAAAGAGACTGAGTTCATGTTAGGCAACTCTGAATGTGGTGGGCTGTGGGAAGAGGGGAGCAAAAGAGACCCAGAAGGTGAACACTTGAAAGAAAACTCCATTATGCAGAAGTCGGTTCACATATATAGAGTGAATGCGTTTCATTAAAAAAAATTTTTTTGTATATATCTAACTGGGGAGTTTTGGCTTCAGAAGTTTCTGGGAGTTAGAGAGCGCCTCAACATTGATTAAGCCCTTATTGTGGATTAGACCCAGGGCTTGCAAAGTGATTTCTATAGATTCTTTCACTGATCCTTGTGGGAAGCGGGGTGGTAGGTGTTATTACTGTGCCCTCACGTTTACAGATATAAACAGGGGCCAAGATCACCTAGCTGGTAGGTGGTGGAGCCTAACCTGGCTCTGTAACTCTTGGATCCTCTGGAGTACACTAAATATGTTGCCTCATAAAACAGAGAGCTCTTTCAGTGCAAATGTTTGCGAAATCAAAGCTCTGTTGCAGGAGCTCTTCAAGGCACTGTCCACCTGGGCACATAGTGGCGAGCCTGGCCCCCCTCAAAGCCACATTGCCAAATTGACTACAAAATACACTTGAAGGCACATCAAAAGATCGTTCTTCAAAACTATTTCATAGGATGTGCTTAGACTACAAACTCCGAAAGGGTAGAAACTCTTGTAGTCTAATTAATCTCTGATTATCTAAAACCATACACAGCACACACTAGGTCCTCGATAAATAGCTGACGAATGAAAAATATATTTTTATATAATTTTCACTTTGTCTAGGGACACTGGCTTTTCTCTCTCCAACTTTTATCTTTTAGTTTTCTGAATTACAGCCGAAAGGGAAGAATATAACACTTGGTTGAGTACCTATCATGCATCAGGCATTGTGAAGAATAGGTAGAGATATAGATACAGATGTGGTTATGAATATCAATATAGTCAGATATAGTGATAGATATGTAGATATTAAAATAGTTATAAATATAGATATAAATACAGATATAGATGTATATGTAGTTATAGATATAGATAGTGACAGATATTGACATAGCTATAGATAATAGCATAGTTATAGATATAGATACAGAAATAGATATAGTTGTAAAGATAGATATACATAGGATAGACATACAGAGATCTCTGACTTTTAGCCCCATTAGCACACTGTGAGATTAGGTTCTGACCTATTAGTGCAGGAGCTGGACCCTGCAGAGTTCACGTTCAGGACTTTCTTTCTTTTTGTGAGGCCTAATTGTTCAATGAGAGTTTCCCCAGAGAAAGGGCTAACAAACAAGAGCTCCTATTTCTGGAGTTCTTGTTTGTGCTGTCTGTGCCAAATGCTTTATACAGAATCTCACTCATTCATCACCACAACTGTAGGAAATAGGTGCTGCCAATATTTTCATATTTAGGGAGAGGTTAAGAAAATTGCCTGAAGTTATGTAGGTGGTGAGTGAAGGGGCTGAAATTTGAACCCGTGCTGTGTGACTCCTATGCTCTCAGTTCTCAGCTGGGCGTTGTGTTTGGCCCTCTCATGTGGTGATGATTAAATCAGAATTGCAAACATGTTTATAAAATGATGCCAAAGTCGTTTCTTTTTTATTCAATTACACCAATGTGATCTCAACAAAATAAATTTTAAAAAAAGAAGGGTGTGTTAGTTTGCTAGATCTGCCGTGAGAAAATACCACAGACTTGGAGGCTTAACCAACAGAAATTTATTTTCTCGCAGATCTGTAGGTGAGATGTCAGAGTCAAGATGTTGGCGGGGCTGGTTTCTTCTGAGGCCCTGCTCCTTGGCTTGTGGATAGTTGTCTTCATGTTCACGTGGCATTCTCCCTCTCCCTCTGTCCTGATCTTTTCTTATAAGGACCCCTGTTACAGTGGATTGGGATCCATCTAATGATCTTATTTTAACTTAATTACCTCTTTGAAGATCCTAGCTCCACATGCAGTCAGATTCTGAGGTACTGGGGGGTTACGACTTCAACATACAAATTTTGAGGGGACATAATTCAGCCCATAATAAAGGCTTAATTAATTTCCTCGCTATTTCTCTCCCTCTTGTTTTGGTCTTTAGCCACTTATTAAGGGGTTGTTTGCATTGTCTTTGGGGATTTTAAGGAAGACCCTGAGGTCATTTATACACCTATGTATAAAAATGGCAACTGAGTCTGGCATTCTTGCTCTAAATCAGTTCCCCTGTGAAGGGAGGTATGTATTGGAAAAAAATAGCAGAGAAGGTGGGCTTCTAGAAACCAGCTCTGCTACTAAACTTGCCTTGCAACCTTGGGGACGTCCCTGTCTCTCCTGGGATGTTGGCTTAGATCAGGAATTTTAAGCTCAAATGTCCATAGGAGCTAGACAGGAGCAGTAAATGGAGATGCAGATATATGTGACAAAATAAGGAGCATTGGAAAGAGTGTCACATTGGAAAATATCCCAGTTAAGTGAAGCAGAAAATTCTCAGCTCCAGCCAGTTGGTTATAGCTTGAAATACAGGCCCTGTGTTCTTCTAAGTTTTCAAGAAAAAACTTCATTCGAGACTTTTAAATGAAATCTCCCAAATTTTAAGTGTTGGCAATTCAAATTTTATTTCCAAGGACTGAGGGCCAAAAGGAATATCTCCAAGGGCCAGGTCTGGGCCAGCTGATATCTTAGGGTCTTCTTGCCCGAAAGTGCTCTGATGAAACCAAAGATGGTACTGTTGATTGATCGACGGGCACTAAAAGAGAAGAGAACATTCTTCAGTTCACGTGGCCCAAGGATCCGTGCTGACAAGCAAACTCGAAGGGATGAACTTTTCACATATCTATCCTCTTTTCTACAACAGTAACCCAATTGCATATTTAGCACTGCCGCCTCTACTAGAAATACTTAGTGGGGTTCTGGGGCAACATCCAAATTAATTTGGGTTAGGTTATTATGGGTCTAAACTGCCTAAAAATAAATCAAGTCGAGTTTTATTGATCTATTCTATGGGTCTGTTGTCAAACAGGATTATTTTGCTGCTGAAACTGAGGAGGAGGGGCTTAATTGTTTGTGGTGATAAAGTGCTTGAATCTCAAAGCTGTGTGCAAAGTGGCTCCTTCAGGCAACATCCTCATGGATAGATAGTTACAGCTTAAGCCAATTTTCACAATCAAATTTCAAGAAGGACCCTAATAAATGAGGGTTCTGTTCCCATGTTAGTGGCATTTGTTGGGGTCTGGAGTGGTGCAGAGGTTCATTTCACGTGTCAACTCCAATGGATTGGTAACAGCTGCCCAGAAGCTGTCCTGGGGAAGACCCTGAAGCCAGACCCCAGTCCAGTAGAGACGGTGCTGTGATATTTACTTCGTCTGTCCTGAGTATGGTGGT